AATTGATCGACTTCGAGCCCCAGTGGGAGAATCAGTTTGATAAGCGCATCCTGGAGGCGTTCGACCTCGATCAAGAGCTATTGGACAAGGCGGCGAGTCTCAAGCTCTCATACGACGAAGCACTCCGACCACTGATGGCCAAACACGGTATTGTAACAAATTGCCATGGAATTATTTGTTACTCTAGCGCACATCGTGGGTCTTGGAACGTGAAAAGGGTTGAATGTGCTAGAAGAAATCATCGTGTATGGCGCTGCTTTCACAAAGTCTTATGCAACTTGTTAGTTAACTATTTAACTAGTTGGGTAATTAACTAACTAGTGTAACCGTAATTTAAAACCGTGATGCGGGATCTATAGTGCCCCAATCTTTACATTGCCAATTTTCTTGATGGCTGATAAAACCTTGGCCCTATCCCCTGTTGTGACAATATCCAGCATTGCATCGAGGTCCTCATCAGAAAGCACAACGACATCCATATCCTTTCTATACGTGAAGCGCATAACGTGCATCCCTCCGTGATGGGATGTAGGAGTTCCCATGATTGGTAAGCTATGGTCTTCGCCGTGGTCAATGGTTGAAAATCTTCATCTCATCTGTCATCTTTGTTGTCTTGGTCGTCTAGCTCCACTAGATCATATTTTATATCCCCATTCTCGTAGATAATGAGCGACTGTTTATCAATCATCCCTCCGAGTCTTTTTTCAGAGGTGCGGCGTTCCCAGTTGTTACCACATCAAGAGTAACAATTTGATTTATTTTTACCTTGTCCACCTGGTCTTAAGTAATGTGTGGTATTATACAGTGCGAAGCTTCGAAGAACCGGTAGTAATATCTTCTGGTGAGAACGATGAAATAAAAATCACAATGGTACTGCCGCAGCGCTTCAATGGGAACAAATCGCCTTTTGTACGACGGTCCTTCAGTATAATGAGCTTAGTGTAGTTAATCGTAGGAGTAAGTAATGTCAAAGTAGCAGAAGCCGCAGAAGCCGCAGAAGCCGCAGAAGCGCTACAGAGTGTACAGTCGCTAGCGATTGCGGCTTCACCCATGCAGGCAGCATTCAAAAAGTTTCGTCATCGTGAGACTGAAAATTGACCAATCATGTTCAGTTGATTGACCGTGCTAAGCTATGTACGGAAGTTGGGGCTGCTCAAGTATGCTGCGCAGCTGCGCGCAAGGTTGAAGCTGCAATCGCTGATCACTGTACATACATAACTAGCGTCAATTTCATGAAGGCACTAAGTTAGGACATGTAATGCTGACAGTATTTAGTTAATTATACTACTTGGGGATATGCTTGTTTCCAATTGTCTTAGTGTTATTGCTCACATACGTGTACGGAAACGCATATGCATGTAAGATAGAGCAAAGGGACTAACTAGCTAACACATTTTCGCAACTAGTGCTATCCACGGTGCTCTTGTGGCGACTGCTGCCTGAACATGGCTTTGGCAACCTTGCTTTTTAACACTGATGGACCAGCCTCTACTTCCAGTAAAGTACCCTTTCGCTTTCGACCACGGCTTGTCGTGCTTGTAGATTTTGTGGCTTCTGCTACTTCTTGCGTAGCACTCTTACCCTTCCGACGATGTTTACCTTTAGCCTCTTTCGCCGCAACCTCCTCCGCTCGTTTCTATCTCGACAAGGGCTGCCATCAAAACCTTAATCGGTCCCTGCCAAGGCGAATATAATCACCCCCCGGTCGAAAGATAACATCAAGCATAATTGTATCACAGCTAATACGGAATCTCCTGCTTTGTTGTTTCTCAGCTTCAGAAGCCATTGGCTGTATTATTGGCTCATCCAGCCTTCTGACATGCTCTCAGCGCCTAGATATTAGATCACATCAATATTGATCGGTATGGCATGTCAATAGCATGTCATAACCAATACGACACACCTTGTCTTGTCTCCCGCTGTTTCCGCCCCCCCAACTGAATGTTTGCCGATGGTGGGATATGAACTGTATAATAAACTCACCGAATCCCCCTCTCTACTAGCTGCTGAGTACAATTTTGTGAAATAAAATTGTACTTACCATGGTCTTCCTAGTCCCCATTGCTGTTTCCCTCCTGGCCATCGCTTTCCTGCGCGTTTTAATGAAGCTTTGGCTGAACAGATATGTCCTACCTCTGCCGCCAGGGCCCAAAGGACTCCCGATCCTGGGAAATGTCAGCGACATGCCCAAGCCGGGTGTACTCGAATGCCACCACTGGTTTGAGCACAAGAAAAAGTACGGGCCTATCTCTTCTGTGACTGCCATGGGCCAAACCATAGTCATAATCAACGACGCTACTATCGCTCTGGATCTCTTGCGTGGCCGCTCTGCCATCTACTCTTCACGACCTAGNCTCCCACATACAAACACCTCATCCGACACCTACTCTGGCTACCATATCCCACAGGGCTCCATTCTCCTCGCTAATATCTAGGCCTTCATGCACAATCCCTCGACCTACCGCGATCCTTTTATCTTCCGTCCAGAACGGTTTTTAGGTCCGGAGGCGGAATCAGATCCAAGAAGTCATGTTTTTGGATATAGGAGACGGATTTGCCCAGGGAAGTACATGGCGGAGAGGGCGTTGAAGGTTACAATTGCGAATACTTTGGTGGTGTTTAGTATAGAGAAAGAGGGAGAGATAGAGACGACGTTTTGCCCAGGGTTGCTGAGTCATCCTAGCCCATTTAAGTGTAGTATTAGGGCTAGGTCAGGGGTGAATGAGGTGGTGGTGAGGGGGTTGAAGGAAAGAGTCATGGGCACAGGGGGACGGTAGTGGAGATGCGGAGGAGTTGAAGGGGGTGAGGTGGTAGAGAGGTAAGTAGATATTTAGGCGTGATTGAATGATTCATGACATTGCGTTTCCAGCTGATGATGCTGCGCCGTTTCTTGAGTATGCCGACGAGGCGTTTGACTTGTATCCTATTTGGCTGTGTCCGCTGCTCCGAGATGGCAGGATCTCAATGGGGTATGCGAAACCATTCAGTGGGCTGGTTGGCGACAAGCAAGTAGAGGGGTATGGAGACTGGGATCTCAGTGTTGGGCTGTGGGGCCAGTATCCATCATCTAATCAAGCAGAATTCGTCCGTGCGAACCGTAAGATCGAAGCGAAGATGCGGGAGCCGGGCGGTTTGAAACGACTCTACTCGCGCGTGTTTTACAGTGAAGATGAGTGGCGGCAGGTCTACGACAAGCACGAGTACGACGAACTCCTTCGGAAATACTCCGCCAAGTCTCTACCTTTAATATAGAACAAAGTCAAGGACCGAGGGCGGAAACAAGACTTTGGCACGGGAGTTAAGGGCTTGTTAAAGAGGCTTGTGAGAAGCAATGTGTTCTTATCCAGTCTCTATGGTATAAATAAGGCGATGAATGGCGGCGACTACATACTGAAGAAGCAGTAGGCCGCTTGAGGCTTGTCAATATATATAGGTGTATAGGTGCATATAAAACAGATCGAAATCCCTAAGGAAACCCTTCCTTGGCCTACTCCAACACCAACTACATGCCGTACTAGCTGTTATCAGTAGATGCACCAGTTTTGTTGCCAGTCGAATGTCAACACTCAGTAAAGCTTGCCGGTGCCTTGTTGGGATATCGTAGGAAGATCTCAAAGAAAGCTTTGAGGCAGTTTGGACTGTCTTGTAAGTTTCTAGCCTCTGACCTATTAGGTCATACAAGTATGCCTTATGGCTTGCAAATTAGTTAACTAATGAATCTTTTACTCTTTGTTTGCTATGTTATAAGCCTAATAGATTTCTAGAATTATCGAAACAGTAAGCTTTCCTATTCTCAAATAGTGGGCGAACATTTACGAACCTGACCGTGCCTCTTATAGAAGACGAGGGTGCTAAAGGTCAACGTAGATGGTCGTCGTCAAACAAGGATAGCCAAACTAGAAAGAGTTTACAAAGGTTTGAACATCGACATCTCTAAAAGGGTGTTAGCGTGAGGGCTTAGTTCGCGTAGCAAAGTCCGTAATTATTAGTAAGTGAGCTTGAGCTGATTTGATACTACAGAAGTATACGTAGCTGCATCAATACCCAGACAGGGTTTCATGCATAACACGCTATGGAGATACTACCTTGTGGTACAAGAGCATCTGTCCGCAACGACTCATATGCTCGGCACTTGATCTAGCATCTCCACAACGTGCTCCTTAAAATCACCTTTGCCCCATTCAATTATCCGACCTAAACAGTTTATGAACTCTTTCGCATGGCCTCCTATTGTAGTACGCCAGCTCTTAAGGTTGAGCATATGAAAGTTGTCGTTAAGCTTAAAATGCACCCATAGCTCGTGTGTAGGCCCTTCAGTCACAATAGAGAAACATAGTGCCAGCGCTGGAGACAGTTCTGCTAGTGTTGGCAACGGCGATACTTGCTCTGGGCGAAACTTGGGACTGCGTGCTGCTTGGCGAGCCAGATCCTCCTGAATCTTCAGAATGCAGGCACCACCAACAGCGGCTTGGTTCTGCGCAGCGGTAAGAGTGACGTTTGCCTTTAACTCTACGATCATGAACGGAAACCGGAGACCAATCTGAGCTGCATGAGGATCGCTTAAGATAAGCTTGCAAGCATGGTAATCGTAGAGCAGATTCTGATGCCGTTCCGTAAATGCTTGGTGTGCGAGTCCAACTGTCATGTCTGGTTTTGGAGTTGTGATGTGGTACATGCTTGCTATTTCGGTACTCATAGTTGACAAAGAGTGTGGAGATGCCGGCGTCACCTCAGAACCATCGGCGTCGGTCTCCATGGCAAGGCTTGGATCAATGTTGGGGGTATTAGCTTGCGGTGGTTCTTGCTGCCGTACTAGACGCTTTGGTTTCAGATGCGAGTTCCAAACTATAACGAAGAATTAGCATCCCACTTGACACATTCTTGGGCATGCACAGTAAGCTCACCTTTCTCGGACACGTTGGTTTCAAGTACGCCTCCCAACCGTTGAGTCATTTTCTTCACAACATTAAAGAGGCAAATTTGCCAGTCGGCCTCGAGGGCACATTTGCTGGCAAGACGTTGTGATTCTGTCGCGAATTCGTCTACTAGCTCGCTGAAAAGCAGCTGCATTCCAAGTTCGTTTGGTGCTGGCACTTGGTCTTCCCAGAACGCGATACCGAGGATTTGTCGTACATACTCATCACTCCCAGATGGCAGCGCAACTGACTGGTCAATATAGACACCGGAAGCGCGCAAGTTCACCAGCCGATATGTTTGTACAGTAGTCGTCTTCGAGGTCTGAGTGTCTGACGTATGCGTGGATTGTCTGGAGCTGCGGCGCTCGCGAGTGTATGTTCTTCGAGGTGTATGCGTGGACTTGCTTTGGGGTGTGGGAGTGAATGGACTTGGGGGTCTTGGAGCCATTGTATGTGGCTCGTAGTCAGATCTAAGGTTGTCTAGCCAGTGTCTGACAAAAGCTAGATTACGCTCAGAATTTTGTTGGAAGGTATGCGTGGATGTATGCTGGCGGCTTTGTTGGTCGATAGACAATGTTGATGTCAGCGACGGTGGCTTCCATGTTGGTATGCACATGCTAAGTGCAGCAGCGCTGCTCCTGGTACGGCGATGAAGTGCTTTCCCGATATCGCTGTCAGACCCCCGTCGCTTCATCGTGGGGAGAATGTGCTTGTTTTGGTAGCCGTTGTATAGGTCAGGCTTGGATGATGATCGCTTTGACTTGAGCAGGTAAAGTCTCGTTCTCTAGGTATCTCAGCAAAATTAGTAAGCGCAACGTCATAGTGATGGACAGAGCAGGAAGCTCTGAAGAACATACTAGGGCAAGGTTGCTTGCGTTTCGCGAAATAAGAATGGACTACGGGCGAGGAAAGGGCTTATTTTACGAAATCGCCAATACGAAAAGCGCTCTCGGTAAGCCTGAGCAACTACTGGTTCTCTATTGGGGTAATCGTAAATGCAGCCTACGTGTTTGCCGCTTGCCGATATTCGATGCTGAGGTAAGGGGTTTGGTTCGAGCGACTAGCTGCCTCGTGAGTCCTTATAGCTCTGTCTAGAGATGCTGCAATATATTAGGTTCTTGTTGAGCTGTTTAGCGCCACAAATAGTGAATGACTTACTGCGTAGAGTGACCGCAAGTAGAATTTGGTTAATGCCTCTCTGGTCCATGTCCATCGTGGCTAGTATAGAACTTTTCGACTGTAAGGTTTGGTCAGGTGCCTGCCGGGCGGGGGG